TACAGTGTTTTGCTATTTTAATAGGGAAAATTGCACCAAAATGGAACCAATTTTCACCCGATTCCTATTTTGGGAAACCAACTTGCAAAATAATTATAGAAATAACTAAAATTTGTTTTTTTTCCCAAATATTAATGCAATAAAATCTATTTTTCATTTCAAATCTCGTTTTTTTAAAATTCAGATATTACCACAATAAAAATTATTTTCTACTAATGCAAAAAAAAATCAATTTAATAGAAAAAAAGTTAATTGATGGAATAAAAAATAAATATTAAATATCATATTCAAGATTTTTAATAGATATAAAGTCTTAAATGTGATATTTAATAGACAGATATATAAAATCTAATTAGTGAAATTTTATTATATATATATATATATATATATATATATTTGGGATCATGTGAGACCAACCTGTTTATTGATGCATATTACTTAAAATTTAAGATTACAATTAAATTGTGCATAAGTACAACTTATTAAAGTTCCATATTTGAATTCGTGTAACTAACTGCAGATAAGCATAATCAAATATTGGATAAACATCACATTTTAAATATAAAAAATCTAAAATATAATTAAAATAATCATTGAGTTCTAATAGAATACTTAGTTATTATCTTTATAAAAAAGTTATATTAGTAAACCCAAATTAAATTATAATTAAAAAAAACCAAAACACGAGAACTTTTGAAAAGATTAATTTGATATTGACATCGATATAATTTTTTTTTAAAATTTTATGATATTTTAAAATTTATATTTTATTCAAAAATAAAAACATTATTGTTTTCTTAAAACCACATAAAACTATATTATATCGACATAAAAAAGAAATAAAACGAAACACTAAAATCAAGATGTATCTCGATGCATTGCATGAGTACCCTTCTAGTCAAATAAAATACATATGACAAATATAATGATATTTACAAATAAAAATAAACAAATATAATTAATAGTTTAATACTCCAAAACAAAATATAATTTGATTTTTAATATATTAAAATGGTTTTTTATATTAATTATAATTTAATTTATGAAATCTTTCATAAAAGAAAGCAAAAGTACAAGACATGCAAGTAGGTTATTAATGTGACAAATGCCTTCATACCTGTAAACTGCAATTATACCTTATGTTTTAATATAACTTGCTTTGGTGTGTACCTCATCCAAAAATTGAGTGGATGCATTTGTCCAGAAACAACACAGATCATGAGTTTAACTCTTTATTTAGATATAATACTGGTTATGAGTTCAACCCTATGCCTCCCAGCTATTAGCCTCAGTAACTGAGGAAAAAGTATTATGTTATACTTATATCTTTAAAGGAAGGTTTCACACGGGTCTGATTAAATTTAACGATTGATATCCAAATATAATAATATAACTTCTGTATTATTTACTTTGATAATGATTGAAAAGAAACAATATAACAAGTATATATGATTATGATAAATACATGTATTAGGGGTTGTTTGTTTACCTTTTAATAGTTTAATGAATAGACAGCCTCTGAATCATTAAGAGGTGAATCTTGTTTGACAGAAAAAAAAGTCTGTCTCTTAATGATTTTTAAAACCATATGAATGATTTTGTATCATGGACCTCCTTTAACCATTCAACGCCATAATTTCGTTGTAAATAATTACCAAACGATTATATTTCATTTTGCACTATATTATGAGAGTCTCTTACTCTTAATCATTCTGACCACTTAATTATTCTGCACCAAACCATTCAGCAACTGTCAAACAGTCTCTAAGTGAGAAGATAATAAGTATTTTGTACTTCGGTTGGAGCATCCACAATAGAGGTACGTACTACAACTTTATTTTAAATTTATTTATTTTAAATTTATTTTATTATACATTTTAGCAGACCCGAATATGATATTTATAACTCTGAACAAGATGTGAAAATGGGTCTTCTGTAAGTAGAAGAAAAATCTTCGATATATTGTTTTTATCATAAGAAATACTAATAATTCACATAAATTCGTTTTCCCAAGTATTCCTAGATGCAAAATCAACCATATCATTTTTATTTAACTTCGTCAATCTGTTCCACCGTAAAAAAAATCATATGATATACCTTTAATATATAGATTGATCTTTTTTGGATTCACAATGTTGACTATATATTCTGAGTAACACTATGTAAATTATAATCAGTTGAGTTTTCATTTCACATCATGTATTTTTCATCACCATTTTAAACTTTTTAGGTTAAAACAATTTTTTTCCGGAAACCATCGGTTTTTAAATCATAATTCATGTTGGTTATAATTAATTCTTGTTTTAAAGATGCAAGAGTAATTAAAATTCATGCATTCAGTATTAATCAACAAGGGATAAATAACGTATGGAAAAACAAAGATAGTTCTGATATCTTAAATATAAACTAAAAGGATATTCGCACAATGCAGTGAGATAAATCTCGATTTTAATGTTTCGTTTTTTTTTTTGTCTCAGTTGATGTTATAATACAATTTTATGTGGTTTTGGAAAAACGATAATATTTTTATTTTTGAATAAAATATAAATATGAAGATACTATAAAAAATTGAAAAAAAGTTATTGATATTAGTACCAAACTAACTATTTAAATTTTTTTCTTTTTTGTGTATTTTTATTTCATTTTTTATTTTTGGTTTAATAATATAATTTTATATAAAGATAATAATTAAGTAGTTTGTTAGAACTCAATGATTAACCTAATTCTATTTTAGATTTTTTATATATTCAAAATGAGATATTTATCTGCAGTTAGTTACACGTATTCAAACATAAAGCTTTAATAAGTTGTACTTACGCACAATTTACTTGTAATTTTGAATTTTAAGTAATATGCATCAATAAACAGTACTTAATACATAAAAAATGGTTTTTAAGAATTTTTTTCAAATGCTTTATAATATAGTATAGATATAAGTTGGACCATCTCATACAGTTGGTAATTTTTTTTATAAGGCAAAAGTTTTCTTAATTAATAACAAAAAATCTACTATATTCTAATACAAATAGAGATTCCATGTGAATGGAATAATCAAATATAGAACGATGAAAAATATATCAGATTTTCTAGAAAAACAATTTTAGACTTTGATACTAGATAAAAAATAAGAAGAATAATAGACAATACTATAAAATAAACGGCTAATTAATTTTTTTTACATATTTAGGAGTCGTTTACCTAATGTTTATCCGAGTAAGTGTTTATCGGGTAAAATTCAACACTATCACTTACTTATGGGGTAACACTATCATGGTAAGCACTAATCGTGTTAGGAGTCATCGTCCTTACTTACCGGGTAAAACTCTTTATCCTTGCCTTCGCTCTTACTAGATAAGATTCTTGGTTCTTGTTTTATTCATCCAGTAAAATAATATCATGGATGTTCCAAATTTTTTTGGAGGCCCTGTTACATCAAATTTTTTTTATTACATTGCATAAATGAAATAACAGAGAATATATGTTAAGAACAAAAATGGACTAAACCTAAAACGATTAACAATCTAAAACTAAACATAGACCATTAATGATTTGAACCTAAAACCAAACGATAAATGGTTTGAACATAAATAATTTCGACTATTATAGATTCAAACTTGAAGAGCCTTAAGAAGCTCAAATTCCTTACTTTTATAGATTCAAACTTGAAGAGCCTTGATCTTGGTCTTTTTCCGAATCTAGAGAAATTAAAAATTGAAGGTTGTGATGATTTTGAAGAACTTCACATTCCCGTTGAATGTCTAAGGCTCAAATCCCTTGTCCTCGGTTCTTCTATGTTGAGGGCCCTTGACCTTCGAGGGACTCTGTATCTCGAGACATTAAGTCTTGATAGGTGTCATGATTTGGTAGAACTTCACATTCCCGTTGAATGTCTAAGACTCAAATCCCTTGTCCTCAAATCTTCTAAGTTGAGGACCCTTGACCTTCAAGGGACTCCGTATCTCGAGACATTAGATCTTCATGGATGTCATGATTTGGAAGAACTTCACATGCCCGTTGAATGGCTAAGGCTCAAATCCCTTGTCCTCGATTCTTCTAAGTTGAGGACCCTTGACCTTTGAGGGGCACCAAATCTCGAGACATTAAGACTTACAGGATGTTGTGATTTGGAAGAACTTCACATTCCCGTTGAATGTCTAAAGCTCAAATCCATCGATATCATGGGTGCACAGTTAAGGACCTTTGACCTTGGGTGGACTCCGAATCTGAAGACGTTAAGTCTTAGATATTGTTATAATCTGGTGGAAGTTCATGCACATGATGGGTGTCCAAAAAAGCTGGAATACATAGACTTGAGTGGTTGTTTGAGGTTTAAGTCTTTTTTGATAAAGAAACAGTTTGAGTTTGAATTGGTTGAAGTTGGTTGTGATTTGAAGGCAGAATGCCTGTTGCACTCGCTCAATTGTACGTGGAAGTTTAGAAAAATGATAATCAAACGTTTTGATGAAGAAAATCTACTCTCGAATGAAAATCTAGAGGCTTAGTCTTTGTGATTGCACAAACCCTGAGGGTTTTTCTGAAAGCATTTGTGGTTTACGACATTTAAGAAAGCTTACACTCGAAGGGGGCATTCCAGAGTCACCCAAAGACCTTGACCGATTGGAATGTCTAGAGAAGCTAAATTTGTTGTCTACGAAGATTACACATCTGCCGGATAGCATTTGTAAGCTAAAACATCTGAAAGATCTCAAACTTGATCCTTATTGGTTTCTTGAGAAGTTACCTCAAGATCTTGGCCGATTAGAATGTTTAGAGAAGCTAATCCTATCGGAGTGTGTAATTCTACGACATATTCCTGACAGCATTTGTAATATGAAACTTCTACAGTATTTTCTTCTCCCTGGTTGTATTGCGATTGAGAAATTACCGGAGGAAATTGGACGATTAAAATGCTTAAGAGAGTTAAATATAGAAGGTACAAACATAAGACATCTTCCTGAAAGCATTTTTGAGTTGCGATGTCTGCGCATTGTTGGTTATAGACTGCTTCTTCAGTCGTATGGTCTTACATCCCCGATACAAACCGCAGAAGACGAAACATTCTTCTATGTAGAGCTGTGAATGACGTTCAGGCAACCACAACAGAAGTCTCCATGGATGATTTTGAGAGGTACTAAGGCCAAAAAAGCTAATTCACAAACAACTATATATCGTAACAGGTGATTCTTTTTACCATTTCTTTTGTTTTATGGTCAGTTGCATGCTTTTTTCAGCTATGTTGTTTGTCTTCGTGTGCTTCGTTTCAGCACTTCATTGAAGCGAAGGATCATACCCTCTTCACATGCCGTGATGAACTTGATGGTTAATCTCGGGTCTCATGATTTGGTTTCAGCTCTATCAGTTTTCCATAGCTGAAACATTTTTGTCAGATGTGAGACTTCTTATTATGTTCCTGCAATCTCAACTCCCTTTTAGAAAATTACTTCATCGGTTACATCGCATTTCATTCATTTTCGACCATTTTAACAGGATCTTGGACAATGTTGCCGTAACGAGGACTCGATCATGTTCTATATGTCAGCATAGATATCTTGTTGGTCCGAATGTTTTGATGTTTGCTTCGTACGTAGCAACTGAAACCGTCAAGACACGTGAACCGGGTTTAGGTGATGTTTGATTCATTGATGTTTTGCTTCAAGAAATGCACAAAGACTGAAGACATTGTTTTAGGTTGGCTATGTTAAGTTTATGTTTTGTAACTTGACATTTTTTGGTTTATGTTTTGAAAGTTCCATTATATCTAACGGGCTGTTTACCAAACACTTACCTGGTAAGCGTTTACGGGTAAATTTTAACACTATCATTTACTTACCGGGTAAGATTTTACTCCACCAAAAAACGATATCGTACGCAACAATTTACTTGGTAAGCGTTTACCATGGTAAGAGTCGTAATCCTCACTTACCGAGTAAGATTCTTGGTCTTTGTCTCGCTCTTACCGGGTAAGATTTTTGGTCCTTACCATATTCATCCGGTAAGGTAACGTAACTTGATGTTCACTTACCCAAGTAAGCGTTTGGTAAACAACCCCTAAATGTTACATTCTTCCCTACATAATCTTCTCTAACTCCAACCTGTTGCAACTTAAAATCCCAGTGCAGATTAGCCAAGCATTCTACAATCTTAGCAACAAAGAGTGCAGGACTAGAAGAAAGCACCCATTTAAGTCTTGAAGTCCATTTAGATGGTTGCTGATCGGGTTTCCGAGATATGCGCAAATAGTGTCTCCCGTGGCTGGTCGTGCCGTGATTCGCGCCGAACACTGTGTGCTCGTTTTCTTATCTACTAACGGTTTTCTGTTATCCACCATACCTATATATATTGTGATCACTACGCATCTTTTGTTTAATTTCTTTGTTGTGTTATATATGTATAAGGGTGCATCATGGCGGTTAAAAACACAAAAGAATTCTTGTCGCCAATCAAGAGATTGTTCAACCTTATTTTCTCCTCTTCGGATCGAATGTATCTGCATCACGTTTTGCTAAAAACGGGATATAGAGATGACACAACAACAAAATCGGGTTTATTATGACGCTCCCAATTTCTAAGACCTCTTTATAGAACTTATTTTATAGGACCAAAAATTAAAGTGTCCTATCTAAAGACGTTGTAATAAGTTCATATGACGTTTTTTGACGTCGTAATAAGTTTTTTAGGACACCTTTAATGTAAAGCGTCCCGTTAGCAATTTTATAGGACATTATTTGAAAAAAAACGTCCTATAAAAACAAGTGTCTTATAAAAAAATCAGTTTACAGGACACTTTCTCAAAAGTGTCCTATAAAGTTGCTAATGCGACGCTTTGTATTAAATTTTTCCTAAAAAACTTGTTTAGACGCGCAAAAGCGTCATATAAACTTATTACAATGCCTTATGATAGGACGTTTTATATTTTGATCCTATAAATTAAGTCCAATAAAGTGGTTTATTGGGATGATTAGAGATAGAGGGGCGTCCTATAAACTTAATTTTGTTGTAGTGGTTTGTTCAAATAGTGTCCTATAAAATAACTAATATCACGTTTTATTTTTAAAGATCTTCTAAAAAATTTGTTAAGACTTTATGCATTGTTGGCATCTTGGGTTGACCCACTACAACAAAAAGAGGTTTATAGGACATTTTTTCTGGATAAACACTGATGAAGTTATATTCCATCTATGCATGAGGACTCGGATAAATGGCAATGTAATTAAACAAAAATATCAATTAGGATCTGTATATAAATGTTACATATATACGTAACATACATGAACAATGTTTGATAAATGCATATTTGAACTCAGTTTTATATCAAAATCTCTTACATTTGCATCATGATTTAATAGATAATAGACCCCCTTAATCTTGATCTTTGGTTGGTGCACAAAGAGGATAGATTTTGGTGTAGTTTCTTTGATCGTCCAACATTTTGACTCGCATTCAATCTTGTTAGGGGTGGTAATTGTGGAGATCAAAAGGGTTCAAGTTTTCATGAAATCACGTTGTTCCAGATATGATGATGAAGTTGCAGCCCACAAACAGCAGCCCAAAAAAGCAGCCACGTCTGGCGGTTTTCTGGGATCGATTGGAAAAACTGTCGAGGAGAGGGAGACGGGGACGAGAACGAGAACCAGAGGACAGAAATCGGAGGGCAGAACCAGAAACAAAGAGAGAGAGTAGAAATCGATCGATTGAGAGGAAGCAGAACTGGAAACTGTCAAGAAGGATGGAGCAAGACAGGAAGCCAATCGAGAGAAATCGATCAGCAGAGAGGGAGCAGAAACTGTTTTCTGAGAAGAAGCAGAAACTGTCTATCTGAGAGGATCGAGAACCAGAAATCGGGAAGAAACAGTAAATTTCCAGATTTTCGGAGCTCTCGATCAATTTTCAGAGGGAGATCCAAGGTCCGATTTTCAGATTTTGGGAGGAATTTTGGAGACAATTTCCGGGGTTTTTCCTTAATTTCAATTATGCAAACTTCAAAGGCAGGTGATGTAATTCCTAGGAATAAAATAATATTAAAATAAACGTAATCTTAATCATTAGAAGGATACTAGCGTTATGCAGCGAGATACATTTTGATTTTAATATTTTATTTTATCATTTATTTCAATCGATGTTATAGTATAATCTTATGTGATTTTGAAAAAGCGATAAATGTTTTTTTTAATAAAATATAAAATTGAAGATATCATAAAAATTTGACAAAAATATTTCGATATTAGTATCAAATTAGTTATTTAAAATTCTTATTTTTTGTGTGATTTTTTACTTCAATTTTTTTATTATAATTTAATTTAGGTTCAATAACGAAATAATTTATATTTGGTTTAATAATATAATTTTCTTATAAGAATAACAATTAATTATTTTGTTATAATTCGATAATTATTCTAATTATATTTTAGATTTTATATTTTAAAATGAGATGTTTATCCTCTATTTGATTATGTTTATCCACAGTTAGTTACACGAATTCAAACCTGGAGCTTTAATAAGTTGTACTTATTCATAATTTACTTGTAATCTTGAATTTTAAGTAATATATGCATCAATATACAATACTTTATGCATAAAAAAATGGTTTTTAAGAGTTTCTGTCAAATGCTTTATAATATAGTATAGATTATTTAGGATGAATTATATAAATCATCATGCGTTTGTTAAAACTCTACCGGTTATCATTATTGTTCTAACTTCCCAACATTTTTCCTATCTAATTAACCTGTTTTTAGCCCATTCTTAACTTATTTTTAAAGGGGACTTGTCTTTGTAAAACGTTCACTACAACAAAATCGGGTTTATAGAACGCTCCCAACTTCTAAGCGTCTTAATAGACCTTTTTATAGGACTTAGTTAATAGGACCAAAAAATAAAGTGTCATATTTAAAGATGTTGTAATAAGTTTATATATGACGTTTTTTTGACGTCCTAATAAGTTTTTTTATGACACTTTTAATATAAAGCGTTCCATTAACAATTTTATAGGTCACTATTTGAAAAACCGGATAAAACAAGTTTCTTATAACAACTTGAGTTTATAGGACATTTTCTCAAAAGTGTCATATAAAGTTGCTAATGCGACACTTTGTATTAAAAATATCCTAAAAAACTTGTTAAGACACGTAAAAACGTCATATAAACTTATTACAACGTCTTTAGTTAGGACGTTTTATATTTTGGTCTTATAAAATTAAGTCGTAAAAAGTATTTTATTGGGATGTTTAGTGATTGGGGGCGTCCTATAAACCCAATGTTGTAGTGGTTTGTTCAAATAATGTCCTATAAAATAACTAATATGACGCTTTATTTTAAAGATGTTCTAAAATTTTTATTAAAACACCTAAAAGCATCCAATAAACTGAACCATCATAAACATGTAATAATGAAGTTTATGGTCTTTTTCTTTCTATAAAATAATCATGTCTTTAATTTATAACCCCACCCCATTTGAATAATAAGAGACGCATGAGGAATTTGAAGTATTTTTTCCTTTTTAATCATGATTTTCTACCATGTTGTGCAATTTTAATAAGCAATATATATATATATATATATATATATATAAATAAGTAGATTATCTTGAAATTAGTGGTAATAATTACTCCTGTTCCGTGTGTTTCACATAAAGATGTATAAGGTTTAGACCGTCTTTGGTAAGCAGAGAAAGCCAAGTTCTTTTTCTTTTAAGTTCAGGATTTGAAGTTGAAAAAAAGGTTAAATTAAGCCTTTTCAAACAATTACCAAAATTTCGGTGTGATCGGGTTTTGAGTCATTCTAGGACCACGCTTTTTTCGAACTTAGATTTATTTTGTGCATTTGTGATTTCACATATTTTTGAAATTAAGCCTTGTTTTTTTAATAAAATTGCATCAATATTTTGATTGAAATTATTTAAATATGTAAAGAAGAAGAAAATATGATAGTGCTCGAGAACTAGACTTGACATCTTTTTGACCAAATAATAGAGTTTTCATTTATATTTAAAAAATAATTATATTAATTAATAGTGTGTTTATTTATATTCAAAATAATGCTTTATTTCTCCTTCCTTTGCTCCTTGCTTTATTGTTTCACCACTTCTTGCAGAGTTAGCATAACTAATCACCAAGCAACATATTCTATAGAATCCTTCAAGCATCACTTTAATGGCATCTTCTTCGACTTCATCCACTCAGACGAGCTTTAAGTATGATGTTTTTTTGAGTTTTCGAGGTGAAGACACTCGTAAGACATTCGTTGATCATCTCTATCATGCTCTTCAGCACAAAAGCATCCACACTTACAAAGATGACGAGAGAATCAAGAAAGGGGAGAGGATCGGTGATGAGCTCATCAAATCCATTGAAGACTCAAAATTCTATATAATTGTGTTTTCAAGGAACTATGCATCTTCATCTTGGTGCTTGGATGAACTTGTGAAGATTATGGAGTGCCAGACGATGACTGAGCATACTGCTTATCCCGTCTTCTATGATGTGGAACCCACTGAGGTCCGCAAACAAAGTGGGGAATTTGGAAAAGCTTTTGCTAAACAAGAAAATGAAGAGGCTGCTGAAAAATGGAGAGAGGCTCTAAAAGAAGCAGCCAATCTTTCTGGGTTTGGGTTGAAGAACACTGTAGATGGGTAATTCATCCATATATAATATATCTGCCATATTATTTCGTACCGATTCTTTGTAATCTACCTTCATCCTATGATGTGAAACGGTCATCCATGGGAGATCATGTTGTGTTGTCAAATTCTAACTCAAACCGGAGTCCCTGTTGAAAGATAAAACATGTGATATGATTACATGACACTCTTAATGACTTCGTATTCACATGTATGTTTTAGATCTGAATTTAAATGAATTGTTCATGTGGGATTTTGAGCAAGCTAATTTTGTCTTCTTTAAATACACAGGCATGAAGCTAAATTCATCCAAAAAATTGTTGAAGAGATCTCACTGGAGTTGCGATCCATCAATTTCAGCGTCGATGAAAAATTAATTGGCATGGAGGCTCGAATAAGGGATGTTGTTTCATCTTTAGAAAAAAATATTGATGACGTTCGAATGATAGGAATCAAGGGGATGGGTGGTGGTGGGAAGACAACTTTGGCGAGAGCTGTTTTTGATCGAATATCCTTTCAGTTCGAAGGTAGCAGTTTTGTGGAGAATGTTAGGGAAAATTCAAATCCCAATTTATCCAGTTTGAAGAAGTTACAAAAACAAGTCCTTAAAGATGTGTTAAATGCCCAGGACATCAAAATAAGTAATGTTCATGATGGGAAAAGAATGATAAAAAAGGTGATGTGTTGTAGAAAGGTTCTTGTYGTTCTCGATGATGTGGATCATATAGACCAACTAAAGGCGTTAGCGGGTGAGCTTAATTGGTTTAGTAAAGGAAGTAGAATTATCATCACAACAAGAGATGAGCAAGTGTTGATAGCACATCGAGTGAGCTTGATACGTGATGTCGATCTTTTATCTGAAGAGGAAGCCATTTGCCTTCTCAGTCGGTATGCGTTCGGGAGAGAGAGTCCAATTGAAGAGTACAAAGAGCTATCGGGACAAGTGGCAAGTTATGCTGCTGGACTTCCCTTAACGATCACAGTTTTGGGTTCGTTTCTGTGTGGTAAAAATGAGCTTGAATGGGAAGATGCTATARAAAGACTAAAARCAATTCCATTGAAGGAAACTTTAGAAAAGTTGGAGTTAAGCTATATTGGTCTAGAGGAGGATTACAAAGAAATATTCCTAGATGTTGCATGTATAATGAAAGGTTGAGAGAAAGAGGACGCAATCGAAGTGCTTGAAAGCTGTGGATTTCATGCTAGAAATGGTTTAAGAGTTCTTGAGCAAAAATCTCTCATAACTATTTCTGAAGATGAGGAATTAGGCATGCATGATCATATAGAAGAAATGGGCAAGAATATTGTTCGCCGCTTGCACCCGAGGGAGCCTTACAGACATAGTCGATTGTGGATTGCAGAGGAAATTGAAAACATATTGGTTAATAATGAGGTAAAGATCAATATTATTTGTAGGGTTGAGGCATTTTCATTTGTTATGACACAAGTTTCATGGTCACTGCTTTTGGATCATAGGGTACTAAAGCAACAACAGGTATACTGCTATGGAGTACTGACTCAGAATTCGATCCAAAAATTTTGAAAGGCCTTGGAAACATGAAGAATCTTAGATATCTTCTGCTGGATCTTGATTTCGATTTGGAATTTGATGAAGTTAGCCAATACCTTCCAAATGCTTTACGATGTCTTTGCTGGTACAGGTACCCTTTTGGGTCCTTACCCAGAACATTTGAAGCAAATAATCTTGTTGGACTTTATATGCCGGAAAGCAGAATTGTACAAGTTTGGGAAGGGGGAGAAAGAAAGGTAGAATAATAGTCCAATACTTACTTGTTTTGCATGATTCATTATAATCTTCACTTTTTGGTTTTGTTTGGTTTGGTTTGTTGCTACACCCATACTTACTTTTTTTTTTTTTTGTTTATGATAGGTTCTTAAGAAGCTCAGATTCCTTACTTTTATAGATTCAAACTTGAAGAGCCTTGATCTTGGTCTTTTTCCGAATCTTGAGAAATTAAATATAGAACGTTGTTATAATTTTGAAGAGCTTCACATTCCCGTTGAATGTTTAAGGCTCAAATCCCTTGTCCTCAAATCTTCTAAGTTGAGAACCCTTGACCTTCGAGGGATTCCGTATCTCGAGACATTAAGTCTTCATGGATGTCATGATTTGGTAGAACTTCACATTCCTGTTGAATGTCTAAGGTTCAAATCCCTTGTCCTCGATTCCTCTAAGTTGAGGACCCTTGACCTTCGAGGGGCTCCAAATCTCAAGACATTAAAACTTGGAGTATGTTATGACTTGATAGAACTTCACGTTCACATTAAATGTCTAAAGCTCGATTCCATCAATATCATGAGTGCACAGTTAAGGACCTTTGACCTTGGGTGGACTCCGAATCTCAAATCCCTTGTCCTCGATTCTTCTAAGTTGAGGGCCCTTGACCTTCGAGGGACTCCGTATCTCGAGACATTAAGTCTTCATGGATGTGATGATTTGGAAGAACCTCACATTCCCGTTGAATGGCTAAGGCTCGAATCCCTTGTCCTCGATTCTTCTAAGTTGAGGGCCCTTGACCTTCGAGGGACTCCGTATCTCGAGACATTAAGTCTTATTGGATGTGATGATTTTGTAGAACTTCACATTCCCGTTGAATGCCTAAGGCTCAAATCCCTTGTCCTCAGGTCTTCTAAGTTGAGGACCCTTGACCTTCGAGGGACTCCGTATCTTGAGACATTAAGTCTTGAGGGATGTCATGATTTGGCAGAACTTCACATTCCCGTTGAATGTCTAAGGCTCAAATCCCTTGTCCTTGATTCTTCTAGGTTGAGGACCCTTGACCTTCGAGGGGCACCAAATCTCGAGACATTAAGACTTAGAGGATGTTATGACTTGGTAGAACTTCACGTTCACATTGAATGTCTAAAGCTCGAATCCATCGATATCATGGGTGCACAGTTAAGGACCTTTGACCTTGGGTGGACTCCGAATTTGAAGATGTTAATTCTTACAGATTGTTATCATCTGGTAGAAGTTCATGCAAATGATGGGTGTCCAAAAAAGCTTAAATACATAGACTTAAGTGGTTGTTTGAGGTTTAAGTCTTTTTTGTTCATAAAACAGTTTGAAGCGGTTAAAGTTGGTTGTGCATCTATGTTACATTTGAAGGCAGAGTCCCTAGAAATGTGCCCGTTGCACTTGGGCAATAATATGTCGAACTTTAGATTTGAATGTTTTTATGAAGAAGAAAAAGGACCCTGGATTGGAAATCTAGAGAAGCTTATTTCATTTGGTCTTTGTGCTTGCACAAATCTTGAGCGTTTTTCTCAAAGCATTTGTGGTTTACGATATTTAAGAAAGCTTACACTCGAAGGTGGTATTCCAGAGTCACCCAAAGACCTTGACCGATTGGAATGTCTAGAGGAGCTAAATTTATTGTCTACAAAGATAACACATTTGCCGGATAGCATTTGTAAGCTAAAACATCTGAAATATCTCAAACTTGATCGTTGTTGGTTTCTTGAGACGTTACCTGAAGATCTTGGCCGATTAGAATGTTTAGAGAAGCTAATCCTTTCAGAGTGTGTATTTCTACGACATATTCCAGATAGCATCTGTAATATGAAACGTCTGTGGTTTTTTCTTCTCCCTGGTTGTATTGCGATTGAGAAACTACCGGAGGAAATTGGACGATTAAATAGGTTAAGAGAGTTAAATATAGAAGGTACAAACATAAGACATCTTCCAGAAAGCATTTTTGAGTTGAAAATAGAACGTGCATCCGTAAGAGAAATGATTTTTGAGGTGTATATAGGAGTTACAAAGATAAGAGAGAGAAATTTTGAGTTGCCATTTCTGCGCATTGTTGGTTATAGATGGCTTCTTCAGTCGTATGGTCTTACATCCGAGATACAAACCTCAGAAGACGAAACATTCTGCTACATAGAGCTGTGAATGACATTCAGGCAACCACCACAGAAGTCTCCATGGATGATTTTGAGAGGTCCAAAGGCCAAAAAAGCTAATTCACAAACAACTATATATTGTAACAGGTGATTCTCTTACCATTTCTTTTGTTTTATGGTCAGTTGCATGCTTTTTTAGCTATGTTGTTTGTTTTCGTGTGCTTCGTTTCAGCACTTCATTGAATCGAAGGATCATGCCCTCTTCACATGTCGTGATGAACTTGATGTTTAATCTTTTGGGTCTCATGATTTGGTTTCAGCTCAATCAGTTTTCCATAGCTGAAACCTTTTTGTCGAAGGATCATACCCTCTTCACATTCTCTCTATGAAGTAAGCGGAAGTTCTTAGAGATCATCCTACAATCTTAGAAACAAAGAATGCAGGACTAGAAGAAAGCACCCATTTAAGTCTTGAAGTCCATTTAGATGGTTGCTGATCGGGATTCCCTAGATACGCGCAAACAGTGTCCCTCGCGGCTGGTCGCGCCGAACACTGTGTGCTCGTTTTCTTATCTATTAACGGTTTTCTTTGTTTGATTTAAAATCTTATCCATTGTGGATAAGATTTGCTGACAGGTTTTCTGTTATCCACCATACCTATTTATATTGTGATCACTACGCATCTTTTGTTTAATTTTTGTTGTTGTGTTATATATGTATAAGGGTGCATCATGGCGGTTAAAAGCACAAAAGAATTCATGTCGCCAATCAAGGGAATGTGTTGTTCAACCTTATTTTCTCCTCTTCGGATCGAATGTATATGCATCACATTTTGCTAAATACGGGATATAGAGATGATACTACAATAAAATCGGGTTTATTATGACGCTCCCAATTTCTAAGCGTCCTAATAGACCTTTTTATAGGACTTAGTTTATAGGACCAAAAATTAAAGTGTCCTATCTAAAGACGTTGTAACAAATTCATATGACCTTTTTTGACGTCTTAACAAGTTTTTTAGGACACATTTAATGTAAAGCGTCTCGCTAGCAATTTTATAGGACATTATTTGAAAAGACTTTCTATAAAAACAAGTGTCTTATAAAAAATTCAGTTTACATGACACTTTCTCAAAAGTGTCCTATAAAGTTGCTAATGCGATGCTTTGTATTAAAAATTTCCTAAAAAACTTGTTAAGACGTCCAAAAGCGTCATATAAACTTATTACAACGCCTTTCGATAGGACGTTTTATATTTTGGTCCTATAAATTAAGTCCTATAAAGCGGTTTATTGGGACGATTAGAGATAAGGGCGTCCTATAAACCTAATTTTGTTGTAGTGGTTTGTTCAAACAGTATCTTATAAAATAACTAATATGACGTTTTATTTTTAAAGATCTAAAAAATTTGTTAAGACGCTCAAAAGCATTCAATAAACTTATTACAACACTTTTAGATAAAAACTATGTTGTTTGGTCATATATATATATATATAAACAGTCTATTAAGACTTCATACATTGATGGCATCTTGGGTTGACACACTAAAACAAAAAGATGTTTATAGGATACTTTTTTGGGACATTTTTCAAGATCCGTCCTCTAAAAAAAAGACTAATACGACATATTATTTTATTAGTCCTATTTGATTTAGTTTAATAGGACTTTTACTTTTGATGTTGTTTTAGCGTTCTATCATGTAAGTCTAATACAACACTTTTCAATGTCAAATTATTTGAAAGTAAGAAATTATTACAGCACTCAAAGTCATATTAATAGTTGGAGGTATGTAAAATCATCATACATTTTGTTAAAACCCTACCAGTTATCATTATTATTCTAACTTCCCAATGTTTTTTCCTATCTAATATATAGAACATTCTTAACTTATTTTTATAGGGGACTTGTCTTTGTAAGACGTTCACTACAACAAAATCGGGTTTATAGGACGCTCTCAACTTCTAACCGTCCTAATAGACCTTTTTATAGGACTAAAAAAATAAAGTGTTCTATCTAAAGACGTTGTAATAAGTTTATATGACTTTTTTTACGTTTTAATAAGTTTATAAGACACTTTTAATATAAAACATCTTGTTAACAATTTTCTAGAACACTATTTGAAAAACCGTCTTATAAAAAAGTGTCTTATAAAAAATTGAGTTTATAGGACACTTTCTCAAAAGTGTCCTATAAAGTTGTTAATACGACACTTATATTTAAAATGTCTTAAAAAACTTGTTAAGACACCTAAAAGCGTCATATAAACTTACTACAACGCATTTAAAAACGACGCTTTATATTTTGGTTCTATAAATTAAGTCCTATAAAGTGGTTTACTGGGACGCTTAAAGATTGAGGGTATCATATAAACCCAATTTTGTTGTAGTGGCTTGTTCAAATAATGTCCTATAAAATAACTAATATGACGTTTTATAGGACACGATTTGAAAAAATCGTCCTATAAAACAAGTGTCTTATAAAAAAATTGAGTTTATAGGACAGTTTCTAAAAAATGTCATATAAAGTTGCTAATGCGACGTTTTATATTAAAATATCCTAAAAAACCTGTTAAGACACCTAAAAATGTCATATAAACTTATTACAACGTATTTAGATAGGACGCTTTATATTTTAATCCTATAAATTAAGTTCTATAAAGCGGTCTATTGAGACGATTAGAGATTGGAGACGTCCTATAAACCTAATTTTGTCGTAGTGGTTTGTTCAAATACTGTCCTATAAAATAACTAATATGATGTTTTATTTTAAAAATGTTCTAATTTTTTTTAAGATGTTTAAAAGCATCCAATAAACTTATTACAACACTTTTAGATAAAAAAAACTTTGTTGTTTGATCCTATATATAAACCGTCTATTAAGATATTTATACATTGTTGGCTTTTTGGGTTGAAGGCATTTGAATAAACCAAATCAATATTTGTGTTTGAAATATATCAACCCAACCCAACACAATCCAAACCGTACGTACGGATTGGGTTTGAGTTGGTTGGGTTAATCGGGTTGAAGTTTGGTACATTATTTTACAATCTAGCTAAGGGTTTTGTTTAAACGAAGTAAATCAAAATGAGAACATACAAACAACGTTAACAAACTCAAAAAAGTAAGTTGAAAGTTCATGCAAATAAGAAAATAAAACTACTGTTGAAATTGTGATATAATTTTGAATATAACTAATTATGGATTGGTCTACTTCTAATGTACATATATTAATCAACAACACAATAATCATATTAAATATGTTGTATAATGCATCATGTTCTTTGGATTGGATTGACGAGATTGGTCAGTTTTTTGAGCACCTCTAATCATATCTACCATGTTTTCCAATTTTAATAAGCAATATATATATATATATATATATATATATATATATATATAGGGTTGGGTTCACGTGAGACCAACATGTTTTCGTGAGACCCGTGAGACCATATTTTTACACTTGAAACTTCACAGCAAAAACACTGTGAAGGTTTAAAAAAGTCGAACCTTCACAGCAAAAACACTGTGAATGTTACCTTCACAGCATTTTGCTGTGAAGTTTCAAGTGTAAAAAGTTGGTCTCACGGGTTTCACGAAAACAGGCTGGTCTCACGTGATTTCAAGTCTATATATATTGTGATCATTAAGTAGATTATCTTGAAATTAGTGCTAATAATTCCGTGTCTTACGCATCTTTTTGACTAAATAATAGAGTCTTTATTTATATTAAAATCATTATCTATACTATCTTATAAAGCATTTAACTAAAACTCTAAAAAACTTTTAAAACTCTTAAAAACTCTTAAACCCGTTCATCCCTATCCGAATTCATCCCATATCTGAATTCATGTAACTAACTGCAGATAACCACAATCAAATACAGGACAAACATCTTATTTTAAATATAAAAAATCTAAAATATAATTAGGATAATTATTGAGTTCTAACAGAATACTTAATTATTATCTTTATAAAATGTTATATTATTAAACCAAAAATAAATTATTTCATTA